CAAACGGTTTATATTCCAAATATCGTTATTAATTTAGTCTACTGTTAAAAAAACAACGTAAATTAGTCTTGAGTTTACTGATCCATGACTTTTGCCTATTTTAAATAAACCCTCATTCATCAGGCAAGCGTTTTATTTTCTGACAGCCGATTACTTTGTCGGTACTACATGTGATAATAAGTTACACAAAATGAGTGCTCCACTTTGGTTTTTTGACGGAATTTATTTGTATTAGTGTTCAACCCGTTGTCATTTGTCCCAGCTTATCACTTGTCGTTCCATGTCATCATTATCATTATTATCGTCGCCGTCACCTTCGTCGCCATAACACGTTATGTTCAATATCGTAATCAGTGTTATTTTCATTAACATTATCAATAAAGTCTTATCATCCATGAAGCAGCTGCATTGTCACCATCGTTACCGCCATGAACCGTTATGGTTATGATCATAGCCCTGATCGTTTGATCAACACCATCTTCGGTCAGATTTCTGTAAATTCATGTAATCACCATGGTCGTCGCTTTTATGATCCAGTAATCCTCATTATTGTTAATTATTGCAGCATTCTTATCATTGTAAATGTCGTCATTTTCATCACTGACATCATATCTATCATTGTCTTAATGGTCATCAACACGTGTTTATCGGTAGTGTCCTTATTATTGTCATCGCATCCACACGTCACCGTCATCTTTATGAACATCACAGTAGTATCTTCGCCACTAATATCGATTGAGTCTTCAATATTGTCGACGACGATGTCGTTATCGTTGTTGTTGTTTTCCACAACCAGATCATATTCATCTTCACGTTAAGAAGTTGTCACCCTTATCCTTTTGTCAGTGTTTTTCATATGACAATCGTCATATTGGATGAGATCGCACTTTTAGGCTTTAATGGTCTTTCTTATCATCATCCTTGTGATTATTTTCGTTGTCATCGTTATTCTCTGCCTTGTGTCTTACTCCGTGGCCAACAGCCCACCTGATTGCTGCTTATTCAATATTATAATCAGCGGAAGTTTTGATCCTTTTTTTTGTTTTTCAGTTATTGCCAAGGTCGTTTTCTTCATGGTGGTAGTCATTGTCATATCCGCCGTTCTGAACGTGTAACACGTCATTGTCATCCTCGTAATCAATGATTGTCGCTTAATTGTTACCAGCCCTTTGATATTCACGTTTAATCACACAGTTTTATCAGAAGCTCTGAGGACGATCATGCGTACTGTCACCGCTCTTTTAGTTACCAGTGATCCTCTCCGCATTATGTGTTATTAGTCAATTAATTACTTCACTAATTAAGTAATAAATATTATTCGCAAATTATTAGCCAACTAATGTGCCAGTTAATATAGTTATTTATCACCTACTATGTTATCGTTAATTATCACACCCTTACCAGCTCTTAGTTTTATGACGATTTCAATTATATTCCCCATCAGACCTATTTTTCATATGGTTCTCCCGTATCTAATGACTTAAATCTTTGTTTGCAGCCTGTCATACGCGAGGAGGACGAGAATCTGTTCGGTTACGATTCAGACTACGACGTTTCGATGACCGACAGCGACAGTGACATCGAGCACGAACCGGCTGTTGCGGCGAAGATCCAACAGCAGCAATCGTACCTTGATCCGAACAGCTATGCATGGTTGATCCTCCGCCTGGCTCTAGTTCGACAAGCGTTTTATCGTGTAAAGCAGTTCGTCGGTCTTTGCGGTCTCGATTTTTCAGGTAAATTGCCGCATGCCGTCTTCATTCTGAATCGATGAGTTTAAATAGTTGATTGATTGTTTGTTTGTTTATTTGATTCACTGATTGATCGATTGAGTGAGTAAATTTACTGTTCAATTGCAGGCATGTATGGGAGAACAGAACTGATCTAAACGGATAAATCAAAATACTGAGTTTCTTAAATACTCGTTAAGGGTAGAAAAATGCCATTGGCCAACTCCAGCAAAATAACACACGTAATTTCTTCAACCCCGGAAACTGAGTTTATCTATTCTGTAGGCACCTGCATTCTCGTTCAGCCAGAAACCGTCGTATTACTCGAAGAAGGGCACCAAGCTTTAGGAGAAGGTACCTTTCCAAATAGCATGAGCACATTATCACTAGCACATAGCACATATCACAGAATATGTTATCATTTACTTGGACAGAGTAACCACATCAGCAGTTTGCTGATCCTTCTTAGTGATTAAATAGGATCGCCATTTCCTAGTCTCGATGTCCATGCTCATCTATTTCGTGCGATTTGTCGTCACAAGCTTTCGTATCTGTCTCTTAGCTAATGGTCCCATCTGATTCGAGAACTTCCAGTTGGGCGTTTGCAGTCTCTTGGATACCAATCGGTAACTGTTGAAGTTCAATGATAATCTGTGCATCTATGATGTGATCTGCCCACTGGTTTTCCTT